GTGTTGTGTTCTATTTGATTCTTGAACTTGAGGAGAGTTTGTTTTATGAACGTCGCAGCACCATTATTTGGTGCATAAATATTGATAATTGTTATGTCTTGTTGATGAATGGTTCCTTTTAACAGTATATAATGTCCTTCCTTATCCCTTTTGATTAACTTAGTGTTGAAGTCGATTTTATTCGATATGAGGATGGCCACCCCTGCTTGCTTACGAGGACCGTGTGCGTGGTATATTTTTTCCCAACCTTTCACCTTCAGCCTGTGTATGTCTTTTCCAATCAGATGTGTCTCCTGGAGGCAGTATATTTTTGGATTTGTTTTTTTAATCCATGTTACCAGCCTATGTTGCTTTATTGGAGAGTTTAAGCCATTAACGTTTAGAGTTACTATTGATATATGGTTTGTACTTCCAGCCATGTTTGATTATTTATCTTTTTTTAAAATTTAGTTTGTTTCTCCATGATTAGCTTTCCCCCCGCCCTCTGTCTTTACTGAGGTACTTCCCACTCTTGGTTTTGGTTGTTGTTTTTCATTTCTTCCTTGTGTAGTGTTTTGCTCAAGATGCTTTGCAGTGCTGGTTTTCTGGCTACAAATTCTTTTAACTTTTGTTTATTATGAAAGATTTTTATTTCGTTGTTGTACCTGAAGCTTAATTTTGCTGGATACAAAATTCTTGGTTGGCATCCATTGTCTTTCAGTGTTTGAAATATGTTGTTCCAGGATCTTCTCGCTTTCAGCGTCTGTGATGAAAAATCCGTTGTTAACCTAATTGGTTTACCCCTGAATGTAATCTGCCTCCTTTCTCTTGTAGCTTTAATATTTTCTCTTTGTTCTGTATATTGGATTTCTTCATAACAATGTGTCTTGGCTTTGGTCTACTGTGATTTTGTATGCTCGGTGTCCTGTATGCATCTACAATTTGTGTATCCGTTTCCTTTTTTATTTCTGGAAAGTTTTCTATAATTATTTTATTCAGCAGGTTGCTCATTCCCTTGGTTTGAACCTCTATACCTTCTTCTATCCCGATGACTCTTAAGTTTGGTTTTTTTATGTTATCCCATATCTCTTGGATGTTTTTCTCGTGATTCCTTACCAGCCTTTCTGAGTTGGCTAGACTCTTTTCAAGGCTTCTACTTGCTCCACTCTGTTAGTGATACTCTCATTTGAGTTTTTAATTTGGTTTATAGTTTCCTTCATTTCTAGGATTATTGTTTGATTTTTTTTTAGAATCTCTATCTCCTGATAAAGATGCTTATTTGCTTCTTTTATCTGTTTATGTAATTCATTTTCAATGTGTTCTTTCATTGTTTGAATTTACTGTCTCATGTCCTCTTTAAGATTCCATTCCATCTATATTAGGTATTCCTTGAGTTCTTTATTTGACCATTTTTCTGATGCCTCTAGGTCCTCCTGAATAATTAGGCTGTCCTGCATTGTTTGTACTCCTTTTCTTCCTTGCTTTTTCATGCTGCTCATGTTACTTCCTTTTCTGTTTGACTGCTGAGTTACTGTTTACTCCTATAAATTTATTTGATGCTTGGGAGGAAAGGTATTAGAAGGGAAGGGAAGAAGTCACTAAAGAGAATGAGAGTAAGCAGGTAGAATTCAAGGAAGGGGGAATAAGGAAATTGAAAAGAAATGAAAAGACAAAAGAAAAAAATAGAAAAGAAAAAAGAAAAAAAATAATCAAAAAAAAAATTAAAATTAAAAAAATAATAAAAAAAATTTAAAAAATAAAAAAAAATGAAAATGAAACCCCCCCCCCCAAATTTAATAAATGCAGCCTTAGAGTTTAATTAACTTGTCTTCCAGTAGGTGGAGCTGTGCCCACCAGGCCAAGCTTCTCCTCTCAATATGCGGGAACTAATCACTGTGCAGTAGCTCCTCCTCCCAGACTGGGCGGGTCTCCAATCCTGAGTGCCTAGGGCCTTCTCTTGTGTCTAGTCACTTCCCCACTTTTCCTCAAGCCAGGCCCCGCTCACCGGTGACGCTCACCACAATACTGGCTACACGCCAGGTCTGCTGCTCCCGGGAGCCCTATTTTCTTGAACGACTGGGCACACTCTCCCTGTTTGCCATTCCCTTGTGGAGCTTGGGGCTGAATTTTACTTGCCCTCTGGTAGCCACGCCCCTGGTAGCTGGTGCCAGAGACCTCAGTTGTCAGCACTGGTGGGAGCAGTAGCTGGGGGTTCCGCGCCGCAGGTCCCGCGCCACTCCTGATTCCCTCGGTCTGACTATCGCGCTCATGGGAGAGCTGGGAGGGGCCCTTAAGGTTTCCCTGCTGTGTGGAGAGGGAGGGCTAGGGGGTTACACACCTGTCACCGCCGGTTTCAATGAAGTTATCTCCTCCGCCGCATTCTGGTGACGTCAGTTCTCTGCCATGGTGGTATCCCATGCAAATGGCGACAGTTCGTTCTCTTTGCCGGGTGACCAATGCAACGGGTGGATCCTGACTGGCTCTCCCAAGCCCCGTCTCAATCCCGTGGCCACTGCCTATGAAGGCTCGGTTGGTATTAACCTCCGCAGGTTCAGAAGGGCCGACCAGTTGTTTCAGCGGGATCGTTTAGTGCTGAGTCACCGCAGTTTGTCTGCGAGACGCAGGTGAACGGGAGCTTGAATTCAGCCGATCCGGGCTTGGTGTGTGTTCTGAGAGGCCCAGACTGTTCGCCCCAGATCCACGTCAGCTCAGCATTGCCTAGTAATCCTGAGCAAACAGCATTTAGACGGTTTACGACTCCCTATGCCCGTGCAGCTGAAGAGGTCAGAGACTTGATCTCTCCGCGCCCGCCGCCATGTTGGGTCTCCTTAGGATTAGTTTTATAAGATGATGTGATAACATTTTTTTTTTCTTTGCAGTGCTAGGGATCACATGTGCATGCTATAGGCAAATGCTCTACCACTGAGCTCAACCCCAAGTTCCCATTATACTTTTTTTTTTTTTTTTTGGTATTGAGAATTAAACCAAGAGGTGTTCTGCCACTGAGCTACATTCCTATTCTTTTTAGTTTCCATTTTGAGACAGGGTGTTGCTAACTTGCTCAAGTTGACCTTGCACTTGAGATTCTCTTGCCTCAGCCTTTGAGTTGCTGGGATTACAGGAATGGGCAATTAATTGAATTTTTTAATAGCCTTTCAGATTTATTTCTCAGTTAAAAAAAAAGTTACTGTTTAATTATACATTGTATTTCATGGTTTTTAATTTAGTTATAAAATTCACAAAATTTTATATGAATTGAAGTTTTGTAATTTTCTCAAGTTTTACTTAATAGTATCTTGAATGTTTCCTGAATTATCACTTTTTTTATCATACTAAATTGGTTCTCTACTGCCAGCTAATGATATAGCATGGATTTGCATGTTGGGAGCTTCACCAGGGGCAATGGTAGGGGGTAGCTCAAGACCTGCTTTTCTCATTTCACTGTTAATCCTGTTGCCCAAGCCATTGGTGATGGGAACAAGCGTACAAAGATGGACACTGCTTATAGGAGCCATTTGTTTTCTTCTTTCAGCAAAGCCTCTTCAGAAGTAAGTGGGCAACATGTTTCCACTAGATAAGGCCAGAGGCCTTAGTAAACTTGATCACATTTTCCTAAGTAAGACCATAGTACCCCTGAAGTATTTCAGACTAATGATGAAAATTGATCCACAGAGTAAATTAATATCATATATATATGAATTATACAAGTGGGATGTAGGGGATATGACTGGATATAATGGGACTCTATCTTGGAGATCCTGTAGACCATTCATTCAGTCACATTATATAGTAATGAAAGCTGAGTTTTAGAGAGGTTAAGTGCCTTGCCTGGGGTTGAACAGGGTGTCCATGACAAAGTTGTAGCTGTTACTTTCAATCATTTGAAATCATATTAGACTGACCCTCAGAAATTTCAATTTCATATGGTTCAGTTTAATATAAACCCATTCTTCTGGCTGACATCACTTTATCACTCCGATCTTTTATAATTAGTGTCTGGGAAGAGAGTAGCAGACTCTACTTAGTACTTTCCTTGATACCATTGGGACAGACAAATCACAGGGGTGTAATCCCTAGGTCTGATGACAGGTAACATTCTTATGTTCTTGTATTTAATATGTCACTAGGATTGCCCCATGGTCTACTGATTATTTGCCAACATTGTGCCTTTTAATATATTTTTTATTTTTGCAGAGATTTGATGGAAGGTGTGGATTGGTCACCATTCCAAATCTCATTTAAAAGTTAATGATAGAAGAGAATACAAGAGATACCTGAGGAATAGAAAGGCTTTATAGCCTTCATTTATTCATTCATTCATTCATTCATTCAGTGTACCCAGTGCAAAACTGGTTTTTATTTTTTTGTGTGCTTAGACATTACTGTATTAAGATTATTTTCAGAGGGATTAAGATTTGATGGGGGCTGGGGATGTGGCTCAAGTGGTAGCACGCTCGTCTGGCATGCGTGCGGCCCGGGTTCGATCCTCAGCACCACATACAAAAACAAAGATGTTGTGTCTGCCGAAAACTAAAAAATAAGTATTAAAAAAAAATTCTCTCTCTCTTTAAAAAAAAAAAAGATTTGATGGTTTCTTCCATCTTTTTCTTGAGTACTAATCCTTTCCCTTTCTTGTCTGGCTTTTTCGTGCTTACTAAATGCTGATCTATGAGTGAGTGATAAGAACCTCTCTTGTGCCCAATCCATGGCAAAAATCAAGGTGAAAAGTATCACGGGGTAAATAGATTTAATCCCTGCCACAAGGAGGAAATTCTGATCCAATTATAGTTAGCATATAGGATTAGCACACATGAAACAACTTATGGGAAAAAAGTTATAGAATAATTAAAAACATAATTAGTGTTTTATAGTGATTGCAAAAGAAGTTAGAATATGAAAGTTCAGTGAAGCCTAAAAACAGTGCCAATCATGGGAGGGCAGGTCAATGCTTAGGATTACAGCTGTGTCTTAAGGTTTTGATTAATGACCCTGTTTACTTTTTTTTTTTTTTTTTTTAATAGTTTCTACACATCCAAAAGCCAGCTTTTTTGTAACAGTTTCACCCCACGAATTAAACTGGCCGGAAAGAAGGTAGGTGTCATCAAACCCTCAGAACCTTTGGGAACTGTCACACATCAATGTAATTATAATATATGATTTTGGGGTACCTTTATCTCTCCACATGGTCATAAATAGGGTTTAAGAAATTTACCTTAGAATTATACAATTTTTGAATGGGTGTGGTAGCACATACTTGTCAGCCTTCCTACTCTTGAGGCAGAGGCAGGAGGATTACAAGTTGGAGGTCAGCCTGGGCAACATAGCAAGACCTTGTCTCAAAATTTACAAAAAGGACTGGGGATATAGTTCATTGGTAGATCACTTGCCTATCATGTGTGAGCCCAAGTTCTATCCTTAGTAATGCAGGAGAAAAACAAAAAAGAATGTTATAACTTTCTGTATTAGATAAACATATAATAAGGCAGGGAGTGGGTATGTAAATCAGTGGTAGAGCCCATGTGTAGCATGCACAGGTCCTGGGGTCAATCCCCATTACTCCCAAACAAACAATAAAAGTGATAATGCTATCAGTTTTTCTCCTCCACCTTTGTACTCCGTTTCAGCAAATTGGACAATGTTTGGAGTGCTCTGCTCTGGTGGGTGTAGACAGACAGGTGATGGTGTCATGGAGGAGGGGAAGCATGCAGGGTTCAAGGTGGGACCTAGCCAAGGTAGAACAAATATAGCAGTGGATTGAACATAAGTCTGAAAATTTGGGTTTGTATTTTGACTCTGCCACCTGCTGATTGTATGACTTTGGGCAAATTCCTTTTTCTTCTTTTTTTTAAAAATTTTTTTTATACTTTTATTTTGTTTACTTTTTAAAAAATGAGGTGCTGGGGATCGAACCCATTGCCTCACGCGTGCTAGGCAAGGCTGTACCATTGAGTCACAACTCCAGCCCAAATTCCTTATTCTTTATAGAATTGAGTATACTCTCCTTTGAAATGGGGCCAGTTCCACCAGTGGTTGGGGTGGTAAGAATTAATCAGATTTGAGGTGGGAAGTATTGGATCTTGCAAGGTCTGATGCTGTGTAAGGTGGGTGTCAGATCTTAGCTTCCTGCCTTCCCATCAGTTATAGGAAGGGTTGAGACATTGTCTTTGCCCTGGGAGCAGCCACATATATACTATACTTTGTGAGATGTTCTATTCTGGCATAGGAGAGTGATTAAATCTTTTAAATTTTATAGCCTGCCTCTGAAAAAGCAAAAAATGGACGTGATACATGTGAGTATTTTTTATTAATTTTTAAATTTGTTTTAATTAGTTATACATGTCAATAGAATGCATTTATGCACTTTGATATGTCATACATAGATGGGATATAATTTCTCATTTTCCTGAGTGTACATGTTGCATAATCATATTGGTCATGCAGTCACATACATACATAAAGTAATAATGTCTATTTCATTCTACTATCTTTCCTATCCCCAATCCCCTTCCCTCCCCTCCCATCACTTCCCTCTACCTAATCTAAGGTAACAGTATTCTTCTCTAGTGCCTTATTGTGAATTAGCATCTACATATTAGAGAAAACATTTGGCCTTTGGTTTTGTGGGATTGGCTTATTCCGCTTAGCATGATATTCTCCAACTCCAACCATTTATTAACAAATTCCATAATTTCACTCTTCTTTAAAGCTGAGTAATATTCCATTGAGTATATATACCACATTTTTAAAAATCCTTTCATCTCTTGAAGGACATCTAAGTTGGTTCCATAGTTTAGCTATTGTGAATTGAGCTGCTGTAAACTTTGATGTGGCTATATTACTGCAGTATGCTGATTTTAAGTCCTTTGACATTTTTTGAGACCTTCTTTCATCACTTTTAGAAAGAGCTAACCCATGGCGACAAAATTACATGAAATTGCTTAAGAAAATTCACTGAACAGTTGGGAGACCTGAATTCCCTTTGTGTCACCTCTTAGCCACCTTGTATTTTTGTCATGTCAATTGCAAGTTGGATGATGACCAAATCTTTTTTTTTGTTTTCCACAGGTCAATTGTAGAGATCAGGTAGAAAGTTTTAAAGCATTAAACATATAAGATGATATGTAGTTTTTAAAAAATAATTGTTTTTAGTTGTAGGTGTACACAATATTTTTATTTTGCTTATATATTTCTGTATGGTGCTGAGGATCGAACCCAGATTGAACCTCATACATGCTAGGCAAGTGCTCTACCACTGACCACAACCCCAGCCCTGGTTGATATTTTTTAACAGGGATCACATAGGAATGAAATGCTACCAATAAGTTGCCTTTATTTAGTTCTGTACTATTTCTTTGTTGCTTTAACTTAAAAGTCATTTCATCTTAACAACCTTATCAATGGGTTATTATCTCCATTTTCTCAGAGGTAGATGATGAACCTAGTGTCTCACAGATGTTGGTGAAGAAATGTGTGAAATGTCTTTGGGTGACAGTTTGTACTATTTGTGTATTTCAGCTCTTGGGACTCCAAAAGAATCTGAGAATGCCCTTCCAATCCAAGTAGATTATGATGCCTACGATGCTCAAGTGTTCAGGCTGCCTGGCCCATCCCGGGCTCAGCGCCTCGCCACCTGCAGGTTTTCAGCTGATTCACTTGGGGTTTATATAAAAGTTATTTAGGAAAACCTGAGGTCTAATACGGACCTTTGTGAGAGCAACCTTGAAAATGTTTTAATTAAAATTAGCCAAATAGGGGCTGGGGATGTGGCTCAAGGGGTAGCGCGCTCGCCTGGCATGCGTGCGGCCGGGTTCGATCCTCAGCACCACATACAAACAAAGATGTTGTGTCCACCGAAAACTAAAAAAAAATAAATATTAAAAAAATTCTCTTTAAAAAAAAAAAAAATTAGCCAAATAGAAGCTGTGCCAGGCAGATCATTAGGGATTTGGTTTTCCAGTTCTTTGGCCTAGCCATTTTGTTTGCCATGAAGTAGTGTCTTGAAATAAGAAGATACTTAGGCTTTTTTTAATATATTTTTTTAAGTTGTACTTGGACACAATACCTTTATTTTATTTTTATGTGGTGCTGAGTATCGAACCCAGTGCCTCGCATGTGTTAGGCAAGTGCTCTACCGCCAAGCGGCAACCCCAGCCCCACCCCCACCTTAGGCTTTTTCTAATCAAAGCAAACATTCATAAATTCCAGAATGATCATCTTACTGGCCTGGCACTAAGATATATTCCTGGGCCCAGATTATTATAAGTTTATTATTGCAAGAACACATGAATTTTTCTTTCTTTAATTCCTGTTTGTTATATTTTTTTCTGTGGTGTTTGGTTATATAGCAGTTTCTGATTGTGATAGAACTAGATACAACGACTTTGATCTTGTATAAAGCCTATTTACCCCAAATTATAGATATGTATTTTGTATTTTCTTCATATACTTGATAGTCTTGTATTTTATGCTTATTTTAGTTCTTTATGTAGATTTTTAAAGTGAATGTATAAAATAGAAATCTAGCTTATTTTTTGTCCCCATTTGACCAGATCATACCAGTTTATTTTTCAGATTTCTTTCTTTTTTTCCCCTCTTCCTTCTCCCCTTCCCCTTACTCTTTTTTTTTTGGTACTGGAGCTCAAACTAGGACCTTGAGCATGTGAAGCAAGCCCTTTGGCACTGAGCTACATTCCTGTCCATATTTTTTAAAATTTTGAGACAGGGTCTTGCTAGGTTGCCAAGGCGGGCCTCAACTTGAGATTCTCCTACCTTAGTCTCCCGAGAAGCTGGGATTATACAGGCATGCACCTCTATTCCTAGCTCAGGTATCTTAAATCTGCAAATTTAAGCACAGCTGATTAGAAGGATATTATGTCTCTTGATTTTTGAGGCAAATGAGTTTATAATGACCACATGATTGCTTTTTATTCTTTTCCTTCATCCCATTGTAATATCTATTCCTGAGAATGTTTAGAGCTCAAGATAAGTTTGACAAACAGCTTTGCTACAAGTGAATGCTTTTTTTAGAGACAGGGGCATTTCTTCAGAGTCTTTATATTAAAAGTTATTTTTTTAAACAGTACTGGGGATTGAATGCATGGCCTTGTGCATACTAGGCAGGTGCTGTTTCATTAAGCTACATTCCTGATCTTTGTTTATGGTATTTTGAGACAGCATGTTACTAAGTTGTCCAGGTGGGCCTTGGACTTGTGATCCTCCTGCCTCAGACTCCTGAGTAGCTGGGATTATGGGTGTTTGTTGTCATGCCTGGTTGAGTCTTTATTATTTTACTTAAAAATATTTTTTTAATAACTGGGCTGAGGTTGTGGCTCAGTGGTAGAGCACTTGCCTAGCATGGGTGAGGCACTGGGTTCAATTCTCAACACCACATATAAATTAATAAATAAATAAAGGTTCATCAACAACTAAAACAAAAAAATTAAAAAAGAAATATTTTTTAAAAAACTTCTTTGTTTTAGTTGTAAATGGATACTTTATTTATTTTTTTGTGGTGCTGAGGATCAAATCAAGTGTTTCATGTGTGCAGAGGCAAGCACTCTACCACTGAGCTACAATCCCAACCCTAATTTTAATTATTTGAGATGAGGTCTCACTCTGTTGCCCAGGCTGATTTCAGACTGCTGGATTCAGGCAATGCTCCTGTTTCAGCCTCCCAAATAGCTGGGTCTACAGGGTGTACCACTACACTCAGCTATATAGGCTTGATTTTTTTTTTTGGTACCAGGAATTGAACCCAGTGGTGCTTAACCACTGAGAAATATCCCCAGACCTTTTTATTTTTTTATTTTGAGACAGGGTCTTGCTAAGTTGCTTAAGGTCTTACTAAGTTGCTGAGGTGGGCCTTGAACTTTTCATCCTCCTGCATCATACCCCCAAATTTCTGAGTGTGTGCACCATTGTGCCTACTAAAGGTGGGTTTCAATACTGATTTTTTCAATACTGATTTTTTTTCACTTATAAGCTAAGTAACTTCACATTCTTCATTTGTAAAATGGTGCTGTCTTATAGGTATGTTTGTAAAGCATAAATGAAATATTACATGAAAAATGTATCTAATAAATGCTAGCTATTATTTTCTAGGCAGAGAACTCAGGAATCTGCATTAACTGTCTCTGCCATGATTCTGATATATGTGACAATGTGAAGATGGTAATTCTTCCTAAGGCTTGAAAGTACCTGTAAACTTTTTATACAACAGTGAATAGTACTTCAGAAGTCTGTGGGCATGGCCTGAGAGAACTCATAATTCAGAAATAATTTATTTTTTTATTAATATTTATTTTTTAGTTTTCGGCGGACACAACATCTTTGTTTGTATGTGGTGCTGAGGATCGAACCCGGGCCGCACACATGCCAGGCGAGCGCGCTACCGCTTGAGCCACATCCCCAGCCCAGAAATAATTTTTTTTTATCTTAAAAATTCAATGACTTTCCCTTCTGTTCCATAATAAGAAGCTTCATTAATTGTAACTGTAAATAACAATGTAAGCTGGCAGAATGCACATTTCTCAGGTAAATGTGGAACATTTATAAGACAGGAAATATTCTGGCCATAAACCAAACCTTAAAATTAAAAGGACTGATGGCCGGATTGTGGCTCAGTGGCAGAGCGCTTGCCTTGCATGTATGAAGTACTGGATTCGATCCTCAGCACCACATAAAAATAAATAAATAAAATAAATGTATTATGTCCATCTACAACTAAAAAATTTTTTTACAAATTAAAAGGACTGAAATGATACTGTATCTTATTCTCTAATCCATAATGAAATAAACCAGAAATTCTTAACAGAAAGATACTAGAAAATCCCCAAATATTAGGAAACTAAGCGCACTTTTAAATAATCTGTGGGACACAGGTATAATTCCAGCAACTTGGAGGCTGAGGCAAGATGATTGCAAGTTCCAGGTCAGTCTGGGCAACTCAGTGAGATCCTGTCTCAAAAAATAAAAAAGACTGGGGATATATAGCACAATAATAGAATGCTGCTGGGATCTATCCCCAGTATAAAAAAAAAAGGAAAAGTCTGAAGTAAAATTAGAATTTTTTTTTAACTGAATGAAAACAGAAATATAACATGAAGTTTGCATGATGCAGTTAAAACAGTTTAAGGGAACTTTATATATAGCACTAAATGCCTATGTGAGAACAAAAAGTAATGTCTCAAGTCAATAACCTCAATTTTCATTCTAAGAAACTAGAAAAAGAAGACCAAATTAAAATCAAAGCTTCCATATGTTTGATACGTCAAAATACATTCTACAGTCATGTATAACTAAAAAGAACAAATAGAAAATTAAAAAAAAAGCTTGCAGAAGATAATAATAAAGATAGCAGCAAAATTTAAGGAACTTGAAAGAAAAATAGTACAGAGCACCAATGGACACATCCTCAGCCCCGCCCCCCCGCCCCTTTTGGCACTGGGGGTTGAACTCAGGGATGCTTGACCACTGAGCTGTACCCTAGCCCCATTTTATATTTAGAGACAGGATCTCATTGAATTGCTTAGAGCCTCGCTTTTTGCTAAGGCTGGCTTTTTTTTGAACTCACCATCCTCCTGCCTCAGCCTCCTGAACTGCTAGGTTTACCCCTAACCTTTTTTTTTTTTTTTTTTTGAGTACAGGGGATTGAACTCAGGGGCACTCAATTACTGAGTCATCCCTAGCCCTGTTTTGTGTTTTATTTAGAGACAGGTTCTCACCGAGTTGCTTAGCGCCTTGCTAAGTTGCTGAGGCTGGCTTTGCAATTGTGATCCTCCTGTCGTAGCCTCCGGAGCCACTAGCATTACAGGCATGTGCCACTGTGCCTGGCTACAGACTGCTTTAATTGTTTTCTCTCTCTCATGTGGTAAACATATACTAGTATTCAAATATTTTACTTTTGAGCTGGGTACGATGGCACTGGGGATGTGGTTCAGTGGTTGAGCACCCCTGGGTTCAATCCCTGGTACGAAAAAATTTTACTTTTGAAGCAGTGAACATGTAGTCAGAATTTGGCTCTGTTTAAGCTCTGATTTAAGACAAAATTCTTCCAGGCTGAAAGAAACAGCTCTGATGCCAAGTGTCCTATTGGTAAGATAATACTTTAATTGTAAGAGTTCACTTCCTTGTTAGGCTTCTCTCTTTTTCTTCTTTTCATCTTTCTAACTATGTTTCTTGAGATTTATCTCCCTTAGGGAGTTATATGTTTTAATGAGTATATTGTTTTTAATGTTTTAATTAAGAAAATATTCAAACATGCCCAAATAGACTAGTATCGTGAACAATTATTGACATGTTGCCCATCTTGTTTTATCATTTTCCCCCCACAATTTTGACTGGTGTGTTTTAATTTTTTTGGTGGTATTAGGAATTGAACCCAGGGGTTCTCTATCATTGAGCCATGTCCTCAGCCATTTTAATTTTGAGACAGGTTTCTCTAATTTCCTTAGACTGACCTCAAATTTGTAATCTCCTACCCCCAGCTTCTGGGATTATAGGCATACACCACCATTCCTGGCTTACTGGAGTATTTTAAAACAAACACCAGGCCTGTTTCTCCACCTGAATGTACTTCAGTACATATCCCTAATAAAGAAGTTTTTGAAAATATTTTTTCAGTACCATTATCTTTAGTATCAAAATTAATATCAATTCCTTAATCTTTCATGTCCATATTCAGATTTCTCCGTTTTCTCCAAAAATTTTTTTTGCAATTAGTTTGTTTAAATTAGGATCTAACCAAGATTCACACATTCCATTTGGCCATAATATCTCTTTTAGTGACAGTAGAACATTTTGCTTTTTTTATTTAGCTAATTTTTAAAAAAATAATATTAACTTTTCCTCTATTCTCTGAATTTTTGTAAACTGGCAGTTAGCTCTAAAAGTTTGATTATATTTCGGTTCCATTTGTAAGACAAGAAAATTTCTGAGCTGACACTGTGTATCTTTTCTTGTATCACCTGGCATCTTGTCCTATTATTCCACTTCTAGTGATGTAAGATTGATCAGTGGTGTCAGACTGGAGTAATCACTTCTTTACAATTGTGATCCCCGGACTTCTGCTATTTGAAAACTGGCATATGTGTCTCCCCTTTCTTTCTTTTTTTTTTTTAATTTTTAGTTGTAGATGAACACAATACTTTTATTTTATTTCTTTATTTTTACGTGGTGCTGAGGATCGAACCCAGGGCCTCGCGCGTGCTAGGCGGGCACTCTACCGCTGAGCCACAACCCCAGACCCTCTCCCCTTTCTTATACTACATATCAGACAGCTAAGGGCAACACCTCTGATCCATGACATTGGGTTTTCTTTGAGTAGAAAATACTTTCTTTAAGTACATTGAGTAGGTGATGGGTTTTGGAGTTTTAACTTGAGATGAGATAGGAGCCCTTGCTTGGTGGTGAGTTTTCTCTTACCTGGCAGGTCTGTGCGGGAGCGGGAGAATCACAATCGCAAGAGTGCCAGCTCTTGTGATGTCTCATCCAGTCCTTCCCTTCCGAGCCGTGCACTACCCACTGAGGAAGTAAGAAGCCAGGCTTCTGACGACAGCTCCCTGGGCAAAAGTGCCAACATCCTGATGATCCCACATCCCCACCTGCACCAGTATGAAGTCAGCAGCTCCTTGGGCTACACCAGCACTCGAGGTGAGAGTGCTGAAGCACAGGCAGAGCTGGGTAAAGCTGGGGATAGTTTCCTTATTATAGTAGGTGTTGAAAGTGGCAGAGAGTGGTCAGATTGGGTAAAACATCCCTTATCTTAATTATTTCCATGTCAATGCAATGGGTACTAATCAGATTAGGTGTTAGGAATGTGTGTATTATACTATTTTTTAAGAAAAACTTTACTGTGTTTGTCTTCTTATTTCCATTTGGTTCTATAATTGTGTCATACTCAGAATGGAGATCATGCATGGAGATAATTGTGTACCAGGCCTGGAAGATATGTCACTTCTACCCGTGTTCTGTTAGCAGGAACTAATTCATGTAACTTCAGTGCAAAAGCACAGGGAATTGTAATCATTTGGGATTAGTGAACAATTTATTAACTCTGCCAGGGTCTGCCCTTCTGGTTCACCAGAATATATGTATCTTTATATATAGATTCTGCTTTACTATATATATATATATGTGTGTGTGTGTGTGTGTGTGTGTGTGTGTGTATGTATATATATATAATTTATGTTTGTTGAATGATTATACTGGGAATTGAAACCAAGAGTGCTTTACCACTGAGCTATGTTTGCACTTCTTTTTGTTTTTTATTTTGAAACAGGGTCTTGCAGAGTTGCTAAGGTTAGCCTTGAACTGACAATCCTCCTGTCTCAGCCTTCTGAGTCACTGGGATTACAGGTGTGCACCACTATGCCTGGCTTAAATATTTATTTTTATTGTTTCTTCCACATAAAGAATACACTTATCCTATCAGGTATGGTGGCACACACCTGTAATCCCAGCAACCTTGGGAGTCTGAGGCAAGAGGATTGCAAATTCGAGGCCAGCCTTAGCAACGTGATGATACTCTTTCTCCAAATAAAAAGGACTGGGGATGTAGCTCAGTGGTAAAGCCCTGTTGGGTTCAATCCCTAGTATCCTCCTGTGGTCCCCAAAGAAAAATATACTCAACCTGTCCCTAATGGAAACAACTAAAATTCCATTATTTTGTTACTGTATCTAGGTAAAAGACCAGGGTCTCCAGGTGATGTGTGGTTTTCCCCTTTGGGTTTGTAATTCACTGGGCCAGTATTTCAAGAGTGAAAATCCCCTTCTCCTAAGTATTTAAAAAATTAAACATGTTAAATTTGTGTATGTTTTTTAGCAGTTTTACTCATTTCTGTCACTTTCTGACATTTATGATGTCCAAAATTCTTGTCAACCTCAGCTATTAGTACACCTAGTTTTGGTTTCATTGTGGTTCTATAATTTGTCTTTGTGGCTCAACTCCATGATAACTTTCAGATGTCCTGGAGAACATGATGGAGCCACCACAGCGAGACTCCAGTGCACCAGGGAGGTTTCATGTAGGCAGTGCAGAGTCCATGCTACATGTTCGACCTGGTGGATACACACCCCAGAGAGCTCTGATTAACCCCTTTGCCCCCTCACGGATGCCTATGAAGCTCACGTCCAATAGAAGACGTTGGATGCACACTTTTCCTGTGGGTAAGTTGGTTGCACAGGAAAGTGCCTTGAACTAGGAGTTCTTGGCCCCACTCTTCCATATTAATCGACTATGTGACTTTTGTTAAGTGCTTCTACTTTTCTGAACCTTTGTCACCAGTGAAATGGGGATAAACTTGACAATATTAGGGGTTCTTTTGAGGATTCTTGAAGATGTATTTGGGAATAGGCTTTGTACCTCACTAGGTATATTAACCTAAGGACTCTTTTTTCCCCCCTATTTGAAAAGGTCTATGCTTTGCCACCTACTTTCTTTCTTAAGGCCTAAAGTCTCTTCATTCTTTTTTCTTTTTGTTCTCTCTGTATATTGATCTTATTGTCTTTGTTATAAGATTATGTCTTCTCTTAGAGGTTTCTGATAACTGAAGAAACAAAGATGTGTGTGTGTGTGTGTGTGTGTGTGTGTGTATATATATATTATATATACATTTGGTGTTGGGGATTAAACCCAGGGGTGCTTTACTATTGAGTTACATCCTCAATTCTTTTTATTTATTTTTTATTTTTCTAAATTTTGAGGTAGGGTCTTGCTAAATTCCTTAGAGCCTTGCCACATTGCTGAGGCTGTCCTCAAACTTGCATCTCCTGTCTTACCCTCCCAAGTTGCTGGAATTACAGGCATGTGCCAGTGTGTCCAGCTTTGAAGAAGTTTTTTAAAAATTCAATTTTTTCCCTAGGCCATTCTTTTTAAAAAAAAATACTTTTATTTATTTATTTATTTTTATGTGGTGCTGAAGACGTTCTTTTTGATCTGTCTTCTGTTGTCAAGAAGATGATGGCAAGGTTTTATAAAGCTGTAACTAAAATTAAACTTCAGATTAATCAGCTCTTACTGGGTTAAGAAGTAACATGAATTACCTCCATATTTTTTTTTTTTTTTTTTTTGGTACCGGGGATTGAACTCAGTGACACTTGACCACTGAGCGACATCCCCAGCCCTGTTTTGTATTTTATTTAGAGACAGAGTCCGGCTGAGTTGCTTAGCACCTTGCCATTGCTGAGGCTGTCTTTGAACTCTTGATCATCCTGCCTCAGTCTCCTGAGCCGCTGGGATTGTAAACCTGTGCCACCGTGTCTGATGCTCCAGTTTTTTTTTTTTTTTTTTTTTTAAATGGAAAGCATCCTGCTGAATGCTTGGAAGTATCTGTTTTCTTTTTGCACTTTCTTTTACTGTTTAAAAGTTTAAAAAATGAGAAATGAATCTGGTTAATTTGATTAAAATTGGAGGTCATTCCCAAATCTCTTCTACCCTCTTATAGCAGAGAAAAGGTAACAAGAGATAATGAGACTACTTGCTTCTTTCTGCTGTCTTTTCTCTCCATGTTTTCCCCATTGGTTTGCTTTGAGACCTCTTGAGAGAACTTTCTTCTGTGACCCTCAACTCTTCCAGCTTCTGTGCTTTTTCCTCCTTGCACCCTTCACAGTTACTAAAACAACAATCTCCAAACAATGTTGACTTTGTTTCATCCTCTTTTCCATCTGATTGTCTAATAGCTAAGGCCCTCCATTGCTAGGCTCCTCAACTTCCTCTCTCCTCAACTTCCTGTCTTCTTATTTTCCTCTTCAGAGACACTATCCTTTCCCAACTAAACGCTGATGTCATTTCTCCTACCCTTTTCCTTCAACCCCTGTTAATCTTGTTTAACACTTAGCTCTAAAATCTCTGTTTCTAGGAAACTTATTTAAATAGATTTGGCTAATTCTGATCTCTCATGCTCTTTTTTGCACTTCAGAATCTTCTGCTTCTTACAATCACTTGTTATTTTCTTAAGTATTAATAGAGTCATTTGATGTTTCATTCATGTTTTCTTCTCATTTAGTTTGTGTTAATTCTCCTGTACTTCTGTATTTCTCTGTATCTCTGTTAGCATGCATGAGACAGAGGCTTCTGAAATGTTAACAGATTAAGCAGGATGATAAACATGAGGTTCCTTAGTAGCACCAATCTTGCTTGGAGGGGGAGGTGTTCTTTCTGGGAACCAGAGGATTCCTTTTATAATGTTCTTTTGTGGTGTGCCCTTTGTTGAGTTTCCTAATACCTATATCCCTTCTGCTGGTAAGAAGGAAGATTGCCGTTAAGTACATAGAACTAACCATCCTTTGTGGTTCTTTGTCTGGGTAGGACCATCTGGAGAGGCCATTCAGATCCATCATCAGACCCGGCAGAATATGGCGGAGCTGCAGGGCAGTGGGCAGAGGGATCCAACTCACTCCTCTGCAGAGCTGTTGGAGTTAGCATATCATGAAGCAGCTGGAAGGTGAGAATGTGCACAGGGCTCTGGAAGGTAACCTCAGAACACTCTTGGCACCCAGGATAATGTGCAAAACAGACTACTCACAAAGTATCATGTTTATAAGACTTGAAAAGGTAATATGAGGTCTTCTTCAGCCACTTCCTGGATGAAATATAAAGCCAACTGCTTGACATTTTTGCCTGTGGTATTACCTAGACCCTGATTTAGGTTCATTTTGAGGTTGCACTTTGTAAACCTTAAACCTTAGTCAAGGATGCAAACAAGAGAGAAAGGGCTTTGAATTTGGGGTACTGAGACAGGTATATGCTGTCATTTTGGGCAGTGTCCCTGTGACTTGTCATTTTGATCACTAAGAAATTTCACTGTTGAGTTTAAAAGAAGTTAATGGGGAAAAAAATGAGATTAAGGCCTCATTTTTTTATGGAAAAAAGTCTTTTTGAACCAGAGTCTGAATGTGTTTATAAGGCATCTAAAGATAGTCAGTGTAGGAAGAAAGTCATTTAAGACTTGACAAGCATGAGCCCAGGTTATACTTATACTCACTGTTTCTGTATTGTTTGGAAACACTTGCAAAAAGTGGTCTTTGCCCCTACCCCCACCCCTACTTTTTGGTGCTAGGGATCAAACACAGGGCCTGGTGCATACTAGGCAAGTGCAAACCCTTGCCCTCTTTGGCCTCTCTTTTAGTCACCTTGACATCTTGTGGGTTGGCTGAGTGCTCAGGGCAGAGTGTGGCCCTCTTTACCACATTAACCCTGGTATACCTATTCAAACATCTCACATGCATCCTTGTCAGTCAGAGGGAGGCAGAAGACAGAAAGGTCTGGTGGTCTAACATGGCTATGGGAAAGTGGCCAGAGTGCCAGGGGAAGAGGCCATAGCTGGCCCACAATGAAGCATCTTCACCTGATGGCTAGAGATATGGATCCCAAGGATTGTCAGTCTCTGGGGCTAAATTTCAGGCCTGTTTCATGACTTCTCTACCTAACATCCCCACTGGGGTATAGGGTAAGCAGGAGAAAGAGTTGATGATGTTCATTAAGCCAGGTGGCTGGGTTCTGTTCTCTGCAGGCACAGCACTTCCCGCCAGCCTGGTGACAGCTTGTCCTTCTTGAACTTCAGTGGAACAGAAGAACTTTCTGTCAGCCTGCTTAGCAACAGTGGTGCAGGTAACTCATCCAAGGACTAATAGAGTCAGTATGCTTGGAGCAGCTCACATCCAGAAAGTGATATGATGTCCAGGAAAGTCAGGGTCATGCCTATTTTGGGATCATTCAGCCACAATTTTGGTGACCTGTTTAGAACCAGTGCTGTATAATCTATGGAATTATAAATGGGCTGCATGGTACATTTTTAGCTGGGAACATATTGTTTAAGCCTCATTTGTTGTCAGGGAGTCATGACTGAGGGCTACCTGATGTGAATGGAGGGCAGCACCAAGGCCAGGAATGGTCTCTGTTCTAGAGGAGCTTTCAGTTGTTGGAGGTCAGGGAACAAACCCATCCTCTTACAGTCAGGAGAGACTCCAAAGGGAGCAGTGTGGTTCCAATTATATGATCAAAAAAGAGAAAGGTGATGATGTAGTTGTTAAGAGAAGTGAGTATGCATGTCAGGCACAAAGGGGTAGAATTTGGTTGAGTAGAGAGTTAGAACGTGAGGATTCCAAGTGCAGTTGGTAGGAACTTGGTTTTGTTGTTTCTTGAATTACTTTTATATCCATTTTCTTATGCAGTCATCCCAGTAGAGCATAAATTACTAAATATATTTTACATATGGGTAACTTAATGCCTAGAGATATAGAGATGTTAAATTAATCTCTCATACCAACTACCAGGTATCTTGACTCACTCAGATTGTTGTCCTCATTTGACCATTTTATTCAGAGTACTTTTTTTTTTTTAAATATATTTATTTCATCTATCTATTAATAATAAAATAGTCTTGGAAAAATCTGAAAAATTCAAATAAGTGACATATTTTATCAATGATTTTGTACCCATAATAATAAGAAAATGTCACATCCTGGAAAAATGTAAATTGATGTCACATTTTTCTCTACCCCTAATGATTGTTAAGGAAATGTCACATCTTGGCAAAATTTGGAAATTGTAAAATCAGTGACATATTCTGAATCCATAGTAATGAGAAAAATTGCAATAAAAGATGACCCAGAGAAAGCTGCATTAGAGCTTTCTCTCTGGAGATTGCTCAAAAAAAAAAAAAAAAAAAAAAAAATATATATATATATATATATATTATTTATTTTTATGTGGTGCTGAGGATTGAACCCAGTGCCTCACATATGCAAGGCAAGTGCTCTACCACTGAGCTATAACCCCAGCCCCTCAGAGTACTTTTTAAGGGTACAGGGGAACATAAGATTGGATAGGCAGAGGCAGTTTCTATAGAGCCTCAGAGGATAGGTATTATACAAAATGAGTGTGAAAACATTACAAGTGGAAAAAAATGGAGCTGCTATTTCATGCTTTAATATTCTGTAAGCAAACTTGCATTTCATATATTTGGTTTAAGGAAGTTGTAGTGAAAATAAGTTTTATAAAATTTGTTAATGATGATTTTCTTCATTTATTGGTAGATTTATTCAGCAGTATTCCTAGAGACCTATGGCTGAGGCTTGGAAATGGGGTTGGCATTACAAGAATCCCAAATGATTAGAAACTCATTCATTCATTAATTCACTTTAAATGAGAAAACTCATTTAATTCATTTCATTAACTTTTTGGTACTGAGGATTAAACCCAGTAGTGCTTTACTCTGAACTATGTCACTAGTCCTTTTACTTTGTTATTTTATTTTTTAAAAAGAATTTTAACTTTTAAAAAATATTTATTTTTAAGAAGTATTTGGATACAATACTTTTATTTTATTTATTTATTTTTATGTGTTGCTGAGGATTGAGCTCAGGGCCTCACACGTGCTAGATGAGTGCTTTATCGCTGAGCCACAACCCCAGCCCATCTTTTTTTTTTTTAAATGTGGTGCTAAGGATTGAACCCAGTGCCTCACGTGCTAGGCAAGCACTCTATCACTGAACTATAGCCCCACCCCTACTTTATTATTTTTGAGATGGGGGGTTTTGCTGATTTGCTGAGGGTCTCTCTAAGTGACTGTGGCTGACCTCAAACTTGTAGTCCTGCTGCCTCAGCCTCCCAAGTTGTTGGGATTATAGGCATGTGCCACTGTGCCTGGTATTCTTTTCTTTCTTTATATATTTGGTACTGGGGATTGAACTGTGGGGTGTTTTACCACTGAGCTACGTCCCCAGTCCCTTTTTATTTTTTATTTTGAGACATGGCCTCACTAAGTTGCTCAAGGTGGTAACCTCACACTTGGTAATCTTCCTACTTCAGGCCCCCAAGTATTTGGGACTGTAGGCATATATCACTGTGCCTGGCTTCATTGATTTTAAATGAGAAAACAAATTGAATACAAGTTTGGTGATAAAAAGATACTTAAAAATGTTATCTTGGGGGCTGGGGTTGTGGCTCAGTGGTAGATCGCTTGCCTGGCATGTGCTAGGCCCTGGGTTTGATTCTCAGCACCACATAAAAATAAATAAATAAAATTAAGGTATTGGATCCAACTACAACTAAAAAATTAAAAAAAAATGTTATCTTGCTGCCAAACCAGTGCATTCAGAATGTTAATAAGGCATGTTTTTAATGCTTTGCTAAACCAAGGAGCCATTTTTTTAGGAATTCAGAGTTTGAGCTACCTGCATTGTTTGGGGTAGAGTTCCACTGCTCTGGGGCTCCCTAGAGTGTACCATCAGCTAGTTTTTCTGGTGACCTGAAGTAGGGAGAATTAATTAGATTGAGATGGTAGCAGCACCAAGATCTATTCAGATTAGTGTTGTGATTTGGGGTAGCCCAGATGATTCTCTATATGTATCTTTTGGAATTTTGCAGTCTATCCTGGGGAAAACAGTGAGCTTTCAAAGAATCGTTATTTGGGAATGGTTGTGGAAGATCCTCAGATGATACCATCATGGAATCCTCTCAGGTTCCCTGGTGCACACACAGGGAAAAAAAAAAAGCATTTGCTGTAACCTGTACCTCTGGTTTTGCCTCCTACCTCTTGGGCTCCTGAATTGTGGGTCTGCCTAATTCTGGACTTGGATGACTCCCAGATGCCTCATCCTTAATGTGTTTTCAACTGAATTCACATCTAGCCATCCCCCAACCCACCCTTCCTCCTCTGTTGCCTCTTTCTTCTGACATTGGCTCATCTACTTTCTCACTGCTTTTGTTCAGGTTCCTATGGTCTGGCCAGGATTATTGCAGTAGCCTTCTAAATGATCTTTCTCATTTCTTGTCTGTTCTGATTCATCTTCCATACTGTCACCAGTGAGATATTTCCAAATGCAAATATGATCAGCTTTCACTTCACAAGTAGAAACCCTTCAGTGTTTCTTTCTTTTTTGGCAGTGCTGTAGATTGAACCTAGGACTTCATGCATGCTAGTCAACCACTCTACTACTGAGCTATATCCCTAGCCCTTCAGTGGTTCTTCATGATTTGTAATGCTAGCCATTACTTGACTCCTGCCTACCTTTGTATTTTCATCTGCCTCCACTTCCTCATAGCATTGTATGTTAAAGAGTACAGGTTCTAGAATCTTAGGACATGAGGCTTGAATCTACCTCATGAGCACTGAGGCCCTTGGGATAGTTACCTAACCTCTGTATAAGTCAGTTTTTTCATTATTATAATACTTATAATATTAAATGTGATGATCCACATGCATGCTTAAGACAGTGCCAGGAACACATGGTGTGTGTTCATCAAATATGTACTATTATTGTTATTGTATGACCATATTTTATATTCTAGCCATTGCTTGTGATCTCTCAAAAGAACTATGTTCTCATATTCCTTTACATAGTCTAGTCCTTCTGTATAGAATATGCTTCTTCCTTGTCTTCAGTCCCTGATTCTGTATGGCAAATGTCCACTCAATCTTTATAGTCCAATCATAACTCCTCATTGAACCCCACCCTAGTGGTTCCCTTTCTTCCTCATGTCCTCCCAAGAGATTTTAGACATGTTTCTGCAACTCCTTGTGCACAACCCAACTTATTTCTCTAAACACCATGATGTCACTGTTTCCATGTTTTTCTCCCCACTAGACTGAGCTTATCTTTACTCATTTCCCTCTAGTGTTTAGCACATTTATTGACAATAGAATCCGTATTTCAAGACCCAGATGTTATATGTAAAAAGCATTTGAATAATTCACAGAATTATTTTTTAATTGGTATTTGAGTGTTTGCTTATATATCTAACTTCTTATTAAGATTGTGGACTCCCTTCAGTTATTTTAGTCAGGGTGATATAGTTAAGTGGCATTACCCTTAACCTTGCCCAGTCCCCTTATGGTCTGTATCATATGTTCAGAGGGGGCCAGAGAACATCAGGAGTTAGGCTGTAGCCACGTGGGAATTGAACTCCCATCTTTGACACTGGCTACCTGATCAATTATGTTAGTAAATCAGAAATAATTTAGAAAAAAATCATCCTAATTTTTCTTGCCCTGTGCAACAACCAGTGTTTCAGTCTTTTCTTTTTCTTTTTTTTTTTTTTTGCTGCTGCAACTAAAGGACCAGACCAGAACAACTGTGGAAGAGGAAAGGTTTATTTATGGTCTCACAATTTCAGAGGTCTCAATCCATAGACAGCAGACTCCATTCCTTGGGCTCATGGCAGAAGAATGTGGCAGAGTGAAGCAGCTCACATGTTGATCATAAAGCAAAGAGAGATATCTCCACTTACCAGATACAAATATATACCCCAAAGCCACACCCCAATTGCTGTGTCCTCTAGCCACACCCTACCACTTCAGGTACCACTCAGTTAATCCTTATCAGGGGATTAATTCACTGCTTGGATTAAGACTCCCATAATACAATCATTTCTCTTACAAACCTTCTTGCATTGTCTCACACATGAGCTTTTGGGGGACACCTTACCTCTAAACCATAACAACCAGTTAATATCAGATCTGTCTTAGGCTATGTGAACCCTACCTTCACCAGTCCTAGCATGGTACAAAGTCCTGCCATCTTTTATTTGGATATAGTAGCTTGCTAACTGGTTGCAGCTTTCTCCTTTGCCCTTTCATATATTATATTTTCTTTTTTAAACATTTT